GTGAACAATTTAACTAGAAAAATTAAAAAATAAATACAATCTATCTAAATACAAATTAGAGACATGCCATAATAGATCATTCAATCTTAAATAAATCAGTAATGTTTTGTGGCAATTTTTAATATCAACTTGAGATTTTTCTTGTTAAAACGTTGAATAAATTTAACATTCAACATATGGATAGAAATAAGTGAATTTTATATAGTTGAAAGGAGAAAGCGACTGGAGAAGCTGATAATCGTCCATATTAACAAATCTGTCAACACAAGATAATTCTCATTATTAAAAAAATCTTTCAAAAAAATATTTTTCTGAAACTTTATTTGAGAGAGATTAACTGATTTAAATTTGAATTAATCAGAACTAAAACAAATGTTACTTTTAGTTTAAAATATCGGAGAAAAATATGCCGGTGTTTTCATGAGCTGTTGACACATCTATCGATAATCTGATGTTTGGAGGAAATAATCATAGTAAAATTACGTAACGAATACAACGTAAAAGAATTTTGAGATATTTTTTTAACTACACAGTAATCTTAAAAATTCTAATATTTTATTGAATTTTTATATATATATATATATATATATATATATATATATTATAAATTAATTGATGTAAAATCAATTAATTTATAATATTAATGCTCTGTAAATTTACATCGAGCACTATTTTGTAAAAATAAAAATACCTATAAGAACACCGATTATATATCTTACTGTTCTTTCTTTTTATTTATTTATATATATATATATATATATATATATATATATATATATATATATTCTGTTGTATGGATATAACTGAGTTAGCTCTATCACTGATATTGAGTGCTTTCCTCTAAGTACTCACATACAAATACAATATATATCAATATATATATCATATATATATATATATATATATATATATATATATATATATATATATATATATATATATATTGATGAGTATTTGGGCAGCAACCGTTCTTTCCTGCATCTTTTATTGAAAACGATCGACAAGGAAGATTTAATTAATCTTTTATTGAGTTTTTCCAGCAAGCTAATATTTTTCCGTTTTTCATGAGTTAAAGAATAAGTACTTAAGTAGCCGAAAGCGCTTGGAACAATTATATCTATGGACAATAATTCCTATATTCTTTAACCCACGAAAAACGTTAGATTGCTGGAAAAACGCAATAAAAGATTAATTGAATCTTCCTTGTCAGCCGTTTTCAATTTAATATATATATATACAGTGTAACCCGGATATAAGAGACCCGGATATAAGAGAGATTTTCTCTGGTCCCAAATTAGAGCCTGTGTTAATGTATATAAAATAGACCAAACCCGGATACAAGAGACTTCTTCTCCGTCCCGACAACTCTTATATCCGGGTTACATATATATATATATATATATATATATATATATATATATATATATATATATATATATATATATATATATATATATATGTTGTGTATATATATATATATATATATATATATATATATATATATATATAGAGAAAGAGATATGAATATAGATAGATAGATAGATAGATAGATAGATAGATAGATAGATAGATAGATAAAGCTAGAGAATAAATGAAAATACATCTCAGTACTTCAGAAAAATTTTTAAAATCTTGGGATTGAAAAATATTTTCACTGAATAGACAAAATTCAACACTGCCCTAAAATATATTGAATAATGGCATTTCATCAATGCATCAGAAAGGACAGAAAACTAAATAAAAAAAAAAGAAGAAAATAATTGTAGCAACAATCAGATAATTATTTGGAAAGAATACCCTATTTTGTTAACTTCACATACAAAGCATTCATTTTTGTAGCGGAATGATTTGTTAGCAAATAAAAGGTTCTGACCTGTAACTGAGGAGCATGCAAATCCTGACTGTTTGAAAAGTCGATTAAGTAGACAAATTCTCGGGCTTTGCCCCACCAGAGGAAACTGGCTTCTTGATCCGTCAATTTAATATAACTTTCCTCGAAAAAAAATACTAAGATAAAAGTGGACACCTGTTTTCCTCATAAAAGGAAATTGTTGAACTGTAGCAGTGGCTCCCAACATCAAAGGAAATTATTCCCCTCACATCCTCCACCCAGAACTTTCCTCTCCCTGATTTTCTGTGTCCTGTTGGAGGGGCCTAACTAGGTAACCAAAAGTGACGGCTTTACAACCGTTTCACTAAGCCCTCCTCTCTCCTTACACCCCGTTTTACAATATGCGGTAAACGAGCCATTTCTAAGGTTCTCTATTTATCTGCGTGATACGAATTCACTATAAAGATGACCCGCAAATGAGATACGGTCGTTAATACCGTCTCTGGAAAGAGTAGACGAACCTCCTCACATATATACATGTGTGAGACCCTATTGACAATTTCTACACAATTTTTATTTTCTTCTAAGCACGTTGAAACAACAGGAAAGTGATTCTGTAAAAGGATGCTGTAGATAACATGGACCGAAAGTGACAAAGTTTTAGAGAAAATATAAACAAAGTAGAAAACATACATTGCTGTTCGATAAAAGTGACTCACCTGATTTTTTTTTTTTTTTTACTAAATGTTCTCTTCTCCGATGAAACGAAAGTTGAGCTAAATTTAAAGGATAAGCGATCTAAAATCCGAAGAAGAAACTTCGAAAGCTCTTTGAATTTAGCAGTAAGTACTGTCAAGCATCCGTTCAGTATAATGTTCTGGGGATGCTTTCATGGAACTGGTTTCTTTAAACATATTGAAAAGACCCCCAGGAGCGAGAAGTACAAGAGAATTTTAGAGTTTTGTCTGCTCCCTTCTGCTGAAAGGGTGCAAATCGACTCCACCAAGCTCATTTTTATGCAGGATAATACTCCTTGTCACAAATCAAAATTGATGAAGCAATACTTTGATGAGAAGCAGGTGAGTGTTATGACATGGGCGTTCCTGATCTCCTGACCTCACCCACATAGAAAACTTATGGAGTATGTTGCTCAACTGCTTTCTCGAGAGCCTGTACTTTATAATGCTCCATAAGTATTGCTGTGAGGAGGTAGTGCTGCCCTGGGTCAAGAGGGTGACTGCTGGATGACCCTATGTCTGGCAACAGGACCCTGCACAAGCAGCAGAAGCCAGTCATAGCCGTCAGACAATTTCTGCGACCATATCACCCCCTTATATCTGGCCACCTAACTCCTCAGACTGCAACCCCTTGATTATTATGTATGGGGTGCAATTGAGCGAGAGACCAACAAAACGCCTTATAACACCGAAGATGAACAAGGATTATGGCAGCATTCACCACCATAAACAAGGAAACCGTCCAGAAGAGATGCAGGTGATTCCGAAGTCATCTGGAGTCTGTGGTTGAAGCCAGTGGCGATTTTTATTTACGTATTTCAAGATATTTTTGTGTAATTTTGGCAAATATATCTGTTAAAATGAGATTTATTCATTGCTGCATTTGATTTCGGATTTCGCCATAGTGGCCTTTACTGATAAAAACAATTAAAGGGATACAGCTCTTTAACTTTCAATAGATGGTGTTCAAATGAAAAAATTACTGTTCTCAAATTAGAGTTTTTCCAAATTGTCCATATTTTCAACTAGAGGCCGTATTCTAATATATTATACCATTTTGGAATCAGGCCGACTCTGTGAGCAGATTAAAAACATTCCGATCAGGACCCGCAATCCTAACGCTTGAATCCCAAGTTTTCATTATTTCGATTGTTTTCGGTGATTTTTACGTGATTTCTTGTGACAATTTTTTGTATGATAACAAATTTTAAAACTGGGAAATAAATTTGGGAATAATTGAAATTAATTGCAGAATCCAAAGAAAGTCACTCATGTAATATAAATAATTGTTTGTACGGTAAATAAAGGATTACGTACATCAAATTGTCTTTAAATTGAGAGAATTATCATTGAACTTTTAAAGGTAAGCTTAAATATTAATGCAGTATTTAACTGCAGCGATCACTTTTGAGTTCTGTTTTTTATTGTTGCCTATCATACTACTACTCCCTACATTATTTACATTATTCGGACTATTGTTCTCATCTTTGTCGCCATGTATCTCTAAAAAGAATACCCGCTCGGCCCGGTGGCTAGGATCAAAGTGTAGTATCTGCGCTTTGTGAGCTGCCGGGTCGGGTGTCTGTCGAACTCTCTGCTTGCAGAGAGGAACCCGGACGAAGCTCCACCGAAGGGTAGGGGGGAGGTTGACGGAACTGGCCCGCCTCGGCGGGTTTGGATGATTATTTATTTTTGGCTGGGCCTACGGGCTCAGAGATACCCACATTAAAAAGGCCTTGTGCCATATTCGATCCCCGTGGGTGGATTGATAAATACCATCTTTGTTGCCATGTTTATCACAAGGTTTCGGCCGTTGTACGCTCCGGCTTTGTTCCGGTTGGAATGTCGAACTGGACCTTTTACTAGGGTAGACTGTTCTAGTTCACTGTTCTAGTTCCACGTGCCATGTTTTTAATGGATGTCAGTTATCAGTTATCTCCTGTTAATTTCCCTCTGAAAGTTCTCCACTGCTTTAACCGGGTATTGAACTCACACTCTTTGGATCCTGTCACTGGATCTAACCAACGCCTTTATCTGTGTCCTTGAGGACATCTGTGTATGAATTTCTGTGTATTATAAACCTAATGTATTCAGCAACCATTTTTACCAGTGTTCATATTGCAATTTTTTGCTGTTAACACATCATGTTTTTACCAGAGCTCAGATTGCAACTTTTGTTGTTTTTTATCGTTGTTCTCTGGCGCTCCTTATTGCTGGTTCCCATATTGTATTAATTTCTATGCTTTTATGTTCGGTCCATAGTACTCTTCTGGTTTAAGGGATGCTATAGGAAAAGTCCAGTAAGAAAAATAGGAAGTTAAATAGAGTGGTTTGCTGGTGAAACATGGTGGAGAATAACACAGTCACGTACGTCCAGGAAGGATTTGAGAATGACCGTTGTCTTGCTATGGATGAATAAGGGTTCATGATACTGTGAAAGAGAATAAAAGAGCGGGAAAAAGATCATGAGGAAAGAGATATGGAACCAGAGACAAAACAATAAAAAGAATAACAAGGATCCAGCGAAAAAATTATACAGAGAGAGAAAGAGAGGAAGGCAAGGTAACACGATGGAAGAGCAGAAACTGAAAGAGATGGGTAGAGACAGAAAGGGAGGGGTAGAGACAGATGCTCAGAGAGAGGGGGTACGGCAAAAGACCCATAGACGGAGAAAATGAGAGGTAAAGAGACATCGTGAAAGTGGAGGCGAGAGAGAGAGAGATGGGAATATGGCGAAAGAGAGAGGCATTCGGCAAAAGATGAAGAAAGAAGGCGAAATGGAGAGAGATGGCAAAAGATCGGAAGATATAGGATGAGAGAAAAATAGGGACGGTGAAAGGGAGCGATTCGACGAAAGAAAAAGAAAGAAGGCAAAAGAAAGAGACAAGAAAGAAAAAAGAGAGAGACTCGGCAAAAGAAAGAGATAAGGCGAAAGCGATATACATTCTTTTTCCCCGTGTCTCTCACTTTCTCTTGTAAGGTGAAAGAGAAAGAGAGATACAGAGCGAAAGACAAAGAGAGAAGGCAAAAGAGTGTGACATATCAGATGAAAGAGACAGAAAGACTGAAGACAAAGAGATAGGGACGGTAAAAGTGAACTAGGCTCAGGGCGAATGAGAGAGAGAGAGAGATTTTAAGAACAAAAGTCAGGGTTTTATATGAAGTCTGAGTTAGAATAATAATGAAAGACATTGAAATTCAAAATGAAATTCTGCTCGTGACAAATTACAAAAGACTGAAAGCAACATAATAAGGAAATGACTTCCGTCATCAAATTTTAATTGAAAGAAACATTCGCTCTTTGTTCGGCATTGAAACGAAATTCCTTATTTTTCTTCCGACCATAACTTTTCGTTCCCCTGCTATTCACCAATCGGGTTATTAAATACCATTAATTCTCAAGAAAATCAAACAAACAAATAATTCCTGCATAATTCAAAGAGAAAAATTCTGGGAAAAGTCTTCATTCTTTTCCATCTATAATTCTAGTCATCTGTCAGCTAATCAATCGATTAACTTACAATGTCATCCTATAAGTAATATGCAAAACATAATAGCGATAAAATTGAATATTTTCAATATACTAAAATACATAAACTACAACAACAATTAGTCTTACTATCACAATGTGTATTTCTATTCAGATTTTTTTCTGATGCACTGTCTCCGTTCAAGACGCGTGCATCATGGCTGCCTTCAATTTCCTGTCCTTTTTAGCTCTTAATATTTTTTTTTACTAACTCTCCTAATTCCTGTTCTAGTAACCATTTACACAAGCTCGTTATATGTTATGCACAGCTTTTCCTCTTGTCTTCAATAGGCCATATGAGTGTCAAATTTTCTAAACCTTGTTTTCTCATTATCTGTCCCAGAAATTTCAACTGGATCTTTCTGTTACTAACTATAAGTGTTCTTTTTGTTCACATTTTCTCTTCATCGTTGTCCATGGTATCCTTCAGTAGAACCACATTTCTGTTGCTTTAAGTCTCTAGGTCATCTGGGATGAGCTTGTCCAGCACTTGCTACCATATTGTAGGAATGGTAATACATATCAGCTCACTGTTCTTTTCTTTGTTTCTGGTGAAATTTTCCTGTTGCTTAATGCTAACGTTTTGGAAGACGTCTTTCGCTATTGCAGTGCCACTTCGGATTTCGTCACCTGTTACAACACTTCCCAGATATGTAAACATTTGTATTTGCAGGATTTTGGTGTCACTAATTTGTAATTTGCATGTCAGGTTGTTCCTTTTGTTGACAACTATACATTCTGTATTCTTGCAATTGATATTTAGTTTTTTCTTCTCACTTTCCTTTCCTAACCTCTGATTTCCTGTGTTCAATCAGCTCATCCATCATCACCCAGGTCGACTGTAGTCGGGATCATCGAACCAATTTTTAGCTGTATAGTATGTGCTACACCAGAGTTACTTTTTCCTAGACCGGTTGCCACCCAAGGCTATAGAACCCAGTCTATCCTGCTATTTACCCATAGCTGGGTTGGGGGAGAAGAAGAGGATTCATACTTTTCCCAAGGGTATTAGCACGTAAGTGAATGTAATAGATTCGACTGGAATTCGAACTTGGCTCTCTGATTCCTCAATTCAAGTCGTTATCCAATATTCCACCGTGTGCAGTTAATACTGTGTCATGTGCATATCTAATGTTGTTAAAATTGTGGCCACCAATAATCAATCCTGCTGATACTTCTAACTCTATCAGGGTTACTTTATTCTAAAGGTTGAATAGGTCAAGTGAGAAGAGACATCCTTGTCTTTTGCTGCTTTCTATTTTTGTATATTTACTTAATTCATGTCCTATCGAGATGCAGGATGCTCCCAGTGTAAATTCTGGATTTTTCTGATATATATTAAGCTTACCTAGCAGTTCCAAGTAGCTTTTCTTTGTGGCTTACTCCATCAAACGTTTGTTTAACATCGTAAAGTGATACAAAACCAAATGTTTAACTCGAGAAATTGAATCATTTAAAATAGCCTTATGAAATCTAGACTCTCATGCTATCCATGGAATCCAATCGAAACTATCAACTATTTTCAGGCGTTTAACGTTTCAATACTTGAAAATAGCTTCATGTGAAAGACATTTACGGCTTAATGAAGACAATCCTTCATCAAAATTGAATCAAAATTTTCATTGCTTTTTCATAGAGTGATTGGTTTTCATTTTTTATACAGAGCAAAAAATGAGATCTTGATAAGGATGACTGGAATTTAGCTTTGAAACTATCGTCACAAGATATATCAATAAGGCTTTCTTTTTCATTCATGCTTAAATTGCTATCTTCAATGTTTGCTGCAGATAGATCTATTATTCACATATTTCTATGCCTAGGATCTTCTTCCTTTGGGTAATAAAACCCAAAATATTCCGTCAGTGACTGTAAGTGCTGTTGAAAAATGGTTACCACTTACCGGTTGATATCCTTCTCTCCCATATATTCATCAAAATTTACAAATTTGTAGATTTCCTTCAACCAACCGCGTTTGCAAACAGTGATATTTTCTTTTGAAAAGCATCTATTTTACCTCGTACTGTAAACACGACATTAATTTGTCCTTGCAAAGATATGTTTACTTCATTTAACAGCCAAAAACCTTTTGCCAGGACCACTAAATGTATAATTTATAATGTCGTTTCCAAATTTCTGGCGGAGTGAATAGCATTCTGGTGCTCTTTTTCTCACAAAAAGGGTTCCCAACTGACCCTATTATACTGTGCAATCAACAAAATCAAAATAACGCTCAAGGGCGAAATTAAAAATATAAAATTGCGACAATTATTTATTTAATTAATTCACCTCAAGCAAGGCGATAATATCACTAAAACGCAAGTGGCTACTCGGTGTGAAAGCGAATGACAAGACTTTAGAAGGAACTGGAAACCCAATCCTAAACAATAAACAAGAGATAAACATTTACACTGGTTCAAAAACAGTGGACTTCTATGAACCGGACGATTGGTGACCTTTCTACATCTATTGTATATATATATATATATATATATATATATATATAGATAGATAGATAGATAGAGAGAGAGAAAGAGAGAGATAGCGAGAGAGAGTGAAGGACAGGGAGAGAAAGTGAAAAAATCTGTCGAATTAATAAACAAAAAATTCTTTATTTCTATAAAAAAAAGTTTTGTTTACGTTTTGATATGAAACTGAGCAGATATGAAATTGAGCAGATATGAAATTTTGAGAATATATGCCGAGACAGATTTAGTTTTATGCCACTGTTCAGCCTGGCTTGATCATTAATGCTCTCCGTGACTGTATCTCTATGGGCACGTCCGATCTGACGGTGTCAACTGCCAGTGAGGGTGGAGTCGCAAGTTCGAATAATGGTGGAGGTCGCATATTTTTCTTTAATAAGATTTTTCGAATATTCACGCCGGTAGGCCATAATAAATATACTGTTTAAAAATAAAAACTTATTTTTTGTGGATACCCATATTTGAGTAGATACTCTATTTTTATGATATCTATCTATCTAGATTATTCTACTACTATTGTTACGCATGAGAAACTATGCTTGCGAGTCTATGCGTGCGGATGATATTTGCCTTTTGCAAATTGTGTAGGTGGGTATCTAAAATCTAGCGTACCAAATATGTGTGTGTGTGTGTGTGTGTGTGTGTGTGTGTGTGTGTGTGTGTGTGTGTGTGTGTGTGTGTGTGTGTGTGTGTGTGTGTGTGTGTGTGTGTGTGTGTGTGTGTGTGTGTGTGTGTGTGTGTATGTGCGTGTGTGTGTGTGTGTGTATGTGCGTGCGTGTGTGTGCGTGTGTTTATGTGTGTGTGTGTGTGTGTGTGTGTGTGTGTGCGTGTGCGTGTGTGTGTGTGTGTGTGTGTGTGTGTGTGTGCTGTGTGTGCGTGTGCGTGTGTGTGTCTGTGGTGTGCGTGTGCGTGTGTGTGTGTGTGTGTGTGTGTGTGTGTGTGTGTGTCTGTAGTGTGTCTGTGTGTGTGTGTGTGTGCGTGTGTGTGTGTGTGTGTGTGTGTGTTTGTGTGTGCGTGCGTGTCTATGTGCGTGTGTTTGTGTGTGTGTGCCTGTAGTGTGCGTGTGTTTGTGTGTGTGTGCGTGTGTGTGTGTGTGTGTGTGTGCCTGTAGTGTGCGTGTGTGTGTGTGTGTCTGTCGGGGTGTGTGTCGGGGTGTGTGTCGGGATGTATGGGTGTGTGTGAGTGTGTGTGTTTGACAGCGAGCCAAGTCTAATTGGGCAGAATTCGTCGTCGCTCTGAGATGGTAGTAAACAAAACTCTGTAGTGAGGATTATGGTCGGCAAAGATTAATCATCCGATTAGAGAAAAAGGCTCATTTATCAAGAGTGAATAGCACAAAAGACAAAAGCAAATTGACTTTGATCATTTATCAATCGTTAACGTTTGATCCACCAGCCTCTTCCTACCAGCTTTTTTTTCTTTTCTTCTTTTTCACCATCCGTTTTACTCTTCTTCTATAGTTTCATTGATTTTTATTTTCACAGGCCCCCTTTCATTCTGTCCGTCAATACATCATTCTCTCTCTCTCTCTCTTTCTCTCTCTGAATTTTTTTCTTTCTTTCTTTCTTTATTTCTTTCTTTCTTTCTTTCTTTCTTTCTTTCTTTCTTGCTTTCTTTCTTTCTTTCTTAAGAAAAATACTATGTTAGTACATCCATAAACTTTCATTCATCATTTTTTATCTTACTTCCATTTTTCCTTCGTTTCTCTTTTTGTTTTCATTCATTTCTTACTTCACTTCTTTCTTTCTTTCATTTTTTCTTTCTTTCTTTTGTTTTCCTTTCTTTCTTAAGGAAAATATTAAGTTAGCAAATCCACAAACTTTCATTCATGATTCATTATTTTATTCCCGTTTTTCTCTCGTTTCTCTTTTGTTTTCATTCGTTTGTTGCTTCACTTTTCTGTCTTTCATTCTTTATTCTTTATTTATTTATTTTTCCTTTCTTTCTTAAGAAAAATATTAAGTTAGCAAATCCACAAACTTTCATTCATCGTTTAATTTTTATCCCATTTTCTTTCGTCCCGTTTTTTCATTCATTTGTTGTTTCAGTTCTTTCTTTGTTTCATTCTTTTTCATTCTTATCTTTTTCTTTCCTTTTTTTAAGAAAAATATTAAGTTAGAAAATCAACAAACTCTCATTTATCGTTTATATTTATTTTTCTCCGGTTTTCTTTCGTTTCT